AAATAACACCAAATGACAAAACTTTTATGTTAAAAATGATTCAGTTATTCAGTTTCTATGAAATTATTTCTTTAAAAATGTACATAAAATCAATCTAAAAGTTCTCTCTCCCATACAGAAAAAAATTTAGGGTCTGAAATCGTAGCAGCAACAGTCCATGACCTCATACTGTTGAGAAAAAGGATTGAGTCGATTGCACTGAATTTGGGAACTAGGAAAGTACAATAAGGCAGAAGGTTGAAGTATTTTTAGAACACTACTCCGCTTGCTAGTATCCCTCATCATAATCACAATAATTGATTCAGGTTCATAAATTTTTAATAGGAAATATTTTTATTAATTTTTTAAAAATATTATTACTCTTAAAAGTGTACGTCTTTATGTTTTAACCTGTAAAAAAATACATAAGAAGCAATGAATTTTTAAATCTTCCGTTCTTTCTGAATTTGAGATTTCCGTAGCGGTATTGTCGAACTATATTTTTTATTTTTTTTACGGTTTACTTCGGAACCGGCCTCTCTAATTACCTGTATTAAAAAAAGGGTTATTTAGTAAAGCCTAATAAACGCAGATCGAAAGAAAGCAAAAGGAACGAAAAATAAATCATAAAATATTAATAGATTAACGAAAAGAGGACTAAAGCCCGTGAAAAGCATGACAAAATTAAGTATTCTGGGGGTTGAATATTCGCACGAATGCTTCCTACCAGCACACCATAATCTGTCATTCAAATATTCCTATTACGATCTAGGTTGCTCGTTTTTTGTCAGAGGTATGCTTATTTCTGACATTTCACAATAAATCATTCACTAATAAATGTTAATCTGATGATGTTGATTAAACAAATTTTTTGTCCGACCGTATTAAAATTAAAAGATATTGTGAACCTATTCCATAAGTACTTCAAAAAATTACTATTTCAGTAAGCGTAGTGTTTCTTTTTAAAAAATCCATAATTTTTTGTTGAAACGTTACTTACTTACCTTTTTTGTAGCAATAGTCTTCACTTTTGGGTTGATGAATACCGTTGCATCTAATTGCAATTACTATGCGAACGGATGATAACAAAGCTCATAAAGAAGAAAGTGTCGGATAAGTACGTCGGTGTAAACGATCTCATGTTAGAAGGTTGTTAAGGCAGAGGGATATAATCGCACACCTCTTTGAATTAATTGGCATTTCCACTTGCTTCTGCATGGTGAAATTCAAAACGACTGTAAACATTTACGAAACTCTAACTAAAGTAACAATTTGTCAGTAATAATACGGAGAAAGCAACAATATTCGATCATACTATCTTTGGGCAGAAAATACTGTTGTTATTTTCCTTCCGTAATTAAATCAATTAGAACTGTACATAAAATTAGTACTTTGTTCCAAGAATATTTTTCAATTAAAAAGGTTAAAGATGAACGATTGACATGGTAAATAAATATGAACATCTATTTCCGACATTAAAAACTATGATGGTTTTGAATTTTTTACAGATATTTTCAAGAAGAGAATATATTTTTGGGTTAATTCATATTTTTAGATTTATAATTTTAAATTCATAAATTTAGACCCACAACAATTTTCGAAAATTAAAAATTATCATTGAAATGATAATAAGTACTAATAACAAAAAATACTACTAAATAATAATTACAAAATCTCGCTACGCTTTGACTATACTTATTTTATACGACTATAATTTTATAATACTCAAACTTTATATATTTTTCTTTAACTAATTATAACACATCCATACAAGGTTAGTTTAATAATATTAGAAAATCATTTAGTGATTGATTAAAATGTAGCTAGATACCTGGTGTTGTTCTTAATAGGTCGTTATTACTTCCTCTGGCCTCGCGAAGGACCTTCTCCCAGGAACTGAGTAAATAAGCGACCGGATCTCGTCTTGTAAAACAGAATCCCATTCTTCATCAAGACCGGTTTGTCATTGTCCAAAGCTTGTCGGAGGCCAACGATTACGAAGAATTGAAGAAGAAAGCTGCAAATCGAGTAAAATGTAACAAGGTATTATTAGTGGTTATATGATTAGTATGCTTACCAAGGATATTCATAAAAACGTGATTACTAATCTAATTATATTTTTATTATCAGATTGGTAATGCGATTTTATATTACAAAAATAAAATAAAAATAAATTTCTCTGATATCAAAGTACAGATTACGTTCACCCCTTTTGTATATCGGCAAGTTTCCCATTGCCCTAATCGCCGTATCTTTGGACGTGCTTTAACGAATTTTGAGAAAATTGTAGTGCAAGTTACGGAACAGGAAGAACGCTTCAGTTTAACTGCCATCCGGCACTTGCCAAAGACGAGAATCAAATGCTTGAAACTTGCGACTGCTATTGTTCTGAAGTCGCCCAGTGAATTTGAATTTCCCCAAATTCCTCCTACTCGTTACATGACTCGCAGCTTCACGAAGTCCCTCTAATGGGGTCGAAGATGAAGAATTTCTTTGTCTTACAATTAGATAAATACTGATCACACCCCAAAAAATGAAACTATTTAACTTTTCAGCAGACTTGTTTGGCTTAGCGTTGTAATTAATTTTGAACATTTTTTAAAACCTCCCATTTGTTTATTATTATCATTAGACTTGAATTGATGAATAGTATAAAACTTTATTTTTCTAAAGATATTCTTTTAATAATTAAATTGATTTTATATCCATTTCGTTTCTTCCGTTTATATTTAGTAAACACTGGAGGTAGTCCAACACAACAAATTTGTTGGGGCAGACGCTCAATCAGAGCAGAAACTTCAGTAGTATAGTAATCTGCGATAATCCACCATGTAAAAGTTAGACAGAAAACAGCATGAGGCGCAACAACACCCCCACTCGTAGCACGATTACCTGAATATCTTGTTTATTATCATGTAATGTGTTTGTATATTTTCTTTTATCACCGAGGCTGCATCTCCCTTGATAACGGTTTACCCCCACAATTGACAATGGTCTTTGAGAAGTCTTGGTACCCTTGAGAATTATCGCGGTGTAAGCCGGTCCCCGTCTTAGTGACAGGTTTATTCAATTTAATCAAAGTAACAAAAATTAGGGTAAACGATGATAGGGAACAAAGGTTGTAAATCTGAAGGGGCGATCACCCAGACGGGAACGACGTGTTCCCCCTCAAATCTGACAAACATGACTTTGAAATAATTACACCGTTAGACAGATAGATAAAAACGTCGAAGGGTGTCGCAGAGCCAGACTAGAACCACGTCGTTTCCCACGGACATGGAGAACATAAAGTTGCAATAGTTAGACAACCGATCAAATAAATAACTATCGTCTAGTTATTTAGTGCTGAAGGGTTGTCACACGGTCAAAAATATGTAGTAACGTGGGACATCGTAAATTGGGTCAACCATGTGCGCGACACCCTTCTTCGCCGGTTCACCCGCGGCCTGGGAACTCCCACGACATTTGATTTTCCTTTCCACCCTACTCCGGTAGAGAAACTGGTATAAAAACGGATGACTGGGAAATCAAAAGTCAGTCAAAACCAGAGACTCATCCCAGCCAGACAAAACCGGAGACTCACCCTCAGGACCCACTCCGTCTGGAACTCAACTAGGGAACTCAGCCTTTGCCACCCATTGAACCAGTCGACGGTCGAAAGAACAGACGGAGCTGGGGATGCTGTGGACACTAATCGTGGGCGTCGTTTGGGTTAAGTCCTTTTGTTAATAGACTCATCCCAGATTTAAAGTTGTGGCTGACTTTTAGATTGATTAAGATTATGTTGTTTGGTTACAGTTAAGAGACGGAATTGTGTTACAACAATAAATGTTAAGGAATATACTCTCTGGTTTATTGAATTGTAGAACCTTACCTTCCCCTTCACAAGAATAAGTACCGACGCGCTTACACCGACTCCTCTTTTGTCGCTTAGAGAAAAGCAAGCGAATATTGAGAAATTATTCGGCCCCCGCGCTATCGTTCGCTTACAGCGGTATACTTGTATATGTTTCTAAAGAAGAAACTGAAGAATATTCTTTTGTTTCTAATTCCATTTCAGTTTCACTGTGATTACAGAGAATCACATCATTAGTTTTCCCTTTTCAACTTACGCTGGGCCTTCCACCTCTTGTTTTGCTGTTATGGTATCCCCATCCATGATGTTTGAGACACTTCTCGATGCGTGAGGATGAATGCTTGACCTCCGCTTTAGCAAACACTTTATCCACCGGATCGGGAGGCGAAATAGGAGATCTTATGTTTACACCGGTCAGTTTGTGCTCCACTAAGGAGAATAGACCCGAGCCGTAGACATTTGTCGCAACGAATGGGGGCTGGCATAATTAGAGCCGACTTTCAGTCTTCTCTTAACTCATCGGGGTATTTAGGGGTGTCCATGGTGAGGAATATACTTCCGGCTTACTTAGTCTTCCTCAGAGATTCGTCGCTATTGTTCTGGGGGTCCGGGAACGGCACAACGCCACAATATAATTTCCTTTTTTTTAACAAAATTGTTTATTCCTATTCGAACAAATATATTGTTCCTGTACGTCACTTAGTAACCTTGAAAATTTGAAAACCTGGACCATAGACAAAAAAAATGTCAGATATTAGTTGTTTTGTTTTATAGTTTGAGTTTCATTTTTGTTTCTATTTTTATTTGTATATCTTTCCCTTTGTAAAATCATCAGGAAAAGTATAATAATGTTGGCTGTGAGATCCATGGCAATTGGTGCCTTATTGCTCTACCTTCTACAGTGCCTAGTACCTATTTAATTGTTTATATTAATAATAAAAATAAAAGAGAAAGCAAATAAACAGTCACAATGTTATTCGTCTTCTTTCTCTATGTCTTTTTCGTAAAAAAATTGTCAGCAATTTTTTAATGGTGTATTTTTCTATGTTTAGAACACTGTGACATGTGTTCAAAAGGGAACAGCTAACTATATAGTGTACAAGCGGCACTAAACAATATTAATTACAAATCCCACGAGATAAAATAAGCTAATTTGTTACACTAAACGTAATTTTTGTTTATTATTTTATTAGTGCTGCGGAATCTTTAATCAAACATTTTTAACATGTTACGTTTATGGTTTTCGATTTACCCCCCACCCCACCCCCTTCAACATCAATATGTTTTTCGATCAAATAACTTACTCGTGCTAAAAAGCCGATATATGCGGCGTTACCGAGAAGACTCCTGCCTACTAGCATCGGGAAATCTTGTTCAACTTTCCGATATCCCCATTGTTTTGCGGTCTGTGGATTATTTTCTTTGTTCTAAATTTAGTTACGTTCGTAGGCATATGTTGGAGATTTCAGCGCTCAGGAGAAAAGCTTGCAAAGAAAGCGTTCTTCGTCTTGCTCAGTGATGTAAGTGAAGGATTACCGAGTGGGGATGATTCTAAGGAAAGGAGAAGAGGTAACAGATGTTTAACGTCGTACCCAGGACGGGAAAGGTTTGTTTATTTACATCTAAAACATCTAAATAATCAAAATCAGCATATAGGACTTTGGATTCCATTTGGCTGGGAATGTAATCTTATAATTAAAAATTAAATCAATTATTTCAAATATAATTTATGCCTACTTTTTCCTAGTTTCACTTTTTCAATTAACGTCTACTCTAATTTAATTGAGAATTTTGGTTTATTCCAGTGTATTTCCCCTTTTGGTATTGTTATTATTTTTTCTGCAAATCATTCACCGTGATTCCCCACATTCACCGATAGATTAAAACCTTATAATTAGAACTTACTTAATTAGAAATACTACTACATAAAATTATTATTTAGATGCTAAAGACAGTCATAGGAAAACTGATCATGATTACTATTTTATGTAATTTACTTTATTAAAACGAGTAAACAAATCTTATTTAATAAACTATTTTACAGCTGGTTGAATAATCTGTCAAACAAAGGCTTTATCTTGTTCGTCGGTCGAATGAACGTTGAAAAGAAACGTTGCGGCCGGAATTCTTCAGGAAGTTATGGGTTCAGGTATTAAAACATTTCTCAATTATGTCAGGTGGAAAGGGCCAGAAGCTTTATTTCTGTCTTGCCGAGAGGATGAAAAATGATTCAATATCAACTTTCTACCTGCGAAGTTGAAGATACGAAGCTAGTTTCTCTAGTGGAGAAAGGAAGCTGGAGAACTCTGTTTATTGCCTTTGCGAACATGAAAATAGCTAAAGTAAAATAAATAATAATCCGTTTAAAAAGCCGAATCCACTTGCCGTAAAATAAACTTGAAGTGAAAATAAAACATTTTCAAGCGCCTTTTTCCGCCCTGCTCAAAACCTTGGACGTACTTGAAAAAACAGCCTTATTAACAACTTATTGATGGTTCCCTGGTTTAAAAATACACAGAAAGACACAGAAAACAGGACACCTGTATTTATTTTTTTATTTTTCATAATAACTAGATATATTGATCAACAGTTGGCTTGAAACGTAATCATTAATCATTAATAACTTGTTGTCTAACTTTGTAGTGTTACTAATCCTTACACTCTTTAGGTTTAAAAAAAAATCAGTTCAATTTCATCTTTTACCCACTCAAATTGTCAAATGTATTAGTTTTTTTTTATTGTTTTCTTTAATTGAAAAAATAAATTTGAGTTAATTTTTTTCTTAAAAACATGGTTTCCAGTCGAAATGATCTCGCCGAGGTAGATGCTTTCACCAACGACGGACGAAGTGACCGTTACGTAGCCAAGAGTGTGCAGCGCTCTCGGCATTGTTCTGATGATGGGGAAGGTCACCGGAAGTTCGATCGAAGCGAAGGTAGTGGTAGAGATGTACGACAGCTTGAGGGTATCCTTTTGTCGCTCTTACCGCACTACGGAAACGTCATTTAACGGCTTCCTTGATAGATAGTCAACTTCAAACGGTCCAAAATGTAAGTGTGAGCTCTAAAACAGTCATCAGAAGGCATCGCGAAAGTAGCTTAGTCATGAACCATATCAGGTTCTCTATTATTGGAGAGGCTTCGAGTAGAAAGGTGACTATTCGCAAATCAGCATCTAGACACTTAAAAAATGAGGGATGTTCTCTTCACAGATGAGTGCCGGTTTGGTATGTTGCAATCAAATTACTGGAGAACGTTTTGCTTCATGAGCCATGCGTGTCATAGTTTCTTCAAAGACAGTCATTTATGAATCTTAGTTCATGCCCGTACCGAACTGATTATCATACAGAATGGTTTTACGACTGTACAAAAGTACATTGAAGAAGTTCATCTAGATGCTGTGGTCCCATTCACTCCATTTATTTTGGACAATTTTCTATTATTAGACGATACTGCTCTACCGTATGTAGCTTCAGATGTCACTCATTAATTGAATATAGGGAGACATGAATGTGACAATGAATGTAGGGAGACAATGAATTGGCCATCCCGTTCACCAGACATGAATCCCATGGAACACTTACGGGTGATAAAGCCTTGGGGGCATCGGGGGCCGCAACTGTTTAGTCGTAAAAGCAGGTACCTTCAAAAAAATGGGGTCGGTCATGTCAGAGTTTTATTTTATTTTTTAACAAAAAGCACATTGCTAATCCGATAATAAAATAATATAATTAAATTAGTAACAAGCATTATGACGTTTTTATGCATATTCTTGGTAAGTATACTAATTGCAAAACTACTACTAATACTTTGTTACATTTTTACTCGAGTTGCAGCTTTCTTGCTTAATTCTTCCATTTGTACTTGGAAAAATTGCGAATATAAAAAAATTAGCCCAGCATCGTTAAAATTGTTTACTAAGTATAGAGCGTACAATAACTAAGCTTAGAACATAGTCTGCGCCTTTTTTTCTTCAGTTTCGAATTTTTTCCGAAGTTTCTAAAAAATGAACTTTGTCAAACGGGATTAAACATTGATATCGGTATAACAAATTATTTGGTATTGACGTGCATTCATATTTCATTTACATAATTTTTCCAGAGTTTAAATTAAAAGTCAATGATATTAATTCTTGGGCTTAAATAGAAATACATATAAAACGAGGTGTAATAGTACACTTCTTCTGTAAATAGCAAATGTAACTGCATGTAATATATTTATATGTATGTAAATTGGGTTAAAATAAACTCTAACTCTAACGAGTGATCTGAACATATTAAAAAATTACTACTTCACTGGCATATGCGTCTAGCATATGAATAATTTAAAAATAAGTTAAAATAAAAAAAACATTTAAGTTTTGTTTTATATGTATATTATTGATATTGAATATGATTTATAATTCACTAATTTCGTGGTCTGCTTGACCAATTAATATATTACAATTAATTAAGGTTTTTGGTTGAGATAAAAAAGTCAATGGCACGAGCGGGATTCGAACCCTCGATCTTCGGCTTGATACGCCGCTGCTCTACCACTTGAGCTATCGTGACCTCGATCCTCTCGGACACCAACTTCCCATCTCGACCCCACTTTTGAATTTTCCCTCCTTTTTGTCATTTTTCAAATGTCGTGTAATCGGATTGGATTCTCGACGACAAATGAAATGGCCACGGAGAGCTTTAGTGAAGTATACTTCATTTTCAATCATTAAATTCACTAATTTCGTGGTCTGCTTGACCAATTAATATATTACAATTAATTAGGGTTTCTGATTGAGATAAAAAATTCAATGTGTCGATTTACACGACATTTGAAAAATGGCAAAAAGGAGAGAAAATTCAAAAGGTGGGGTTGAGATAGGAAGTTGGTGTCCGAGTGGATCGAGGTCTCGATAGCTCAAGTGGTAGAGCAGCGGCGTATCAAGCCGAAGATCGTGGGTTCAAATCCCGCTCGTGCCATTGACTTTTTTATCTCAACCAAAAACCTTAATTAATTGTAATGATTTATACTATTAACGTAGATGCGGCTGATTTTACATGTGTCCGTTCTGTAATTGATGGTGTGTTTATCTCTGTTCATGAAAACCATTTACATTAATTGCTTTATTCTAAGTTTAATATTTTTGGATTTTTGTATCGAAATTGTGTTTGAGTTCAAAATTGTGGATAGCTAGTGTTTTAAAATTTTGTTTGGATTTTTGCATATGTAGTTTTACCCTTTTATCCAGATATTGGGATGTAATTCGATTGTTTGTTGCCGAAAAATTCATACAAATGATTTTGTAAATTACAGCAGACTTATTTGTTTCTGGTATAGGATCTTTAATTTTGGAAAAAAAGTGTGAATGGTGTTATAGTTTCTTGAAGGCTATTTTAAAGTTACGAGAAGAGACAAACGTGTTTAATTTGTGTGATAGACCGTAAATGAATGGCATGGAAATGTATGTTGGTTTGTCTGTATTTGATAGAATTGATGTAGAGGTATTAATAATAGTATATGGTGTTAGTGTTGAGTTGTAATTGTTGATTACTCTGTTGATTATGTGCCTAGAGTAGTTATTGTTATGTAGGATATGTTTATATTCTTAATGTCTTACGGTGAAAAGATTCATGGCTAAAGGTAATAATTCTGTGAACTACTCTTTGGTCATGTTTATTATAAGTACCCTGCAAAAGATGCCAATAAAGATCGAAACGATAAATAAAATGTATTTCTGACGTATATCACACCAGACAGCGACTCACAATCTTTAAATAATCAGTAAGTGACGGTCACTAAATATTACACTTTTTTAAATTTTCAGTAACTTATAATTTTTTATTCGAATTATTTGTAATGGTTTTGTTCTGTTAATTGTATGTTACTGAAGTCAGCACTTTGTTAACATGTTTGCATTCTTCTGGGGTAAATCAAAAATCATTTGCATGATTTAATAGATCGTAATTTCACTCATATTGATGAGATCCTGTCACCCACGGTGTCCCGAAGAACAAGAAAGAAACGTGACCCTCGAAAAGTTAAACTGTATTTGTTGAAAGTTTCCTTTTGAGGGAAATGTTAGACATTTTGTGCACTCTTGCTAATCGTGCCGATGCATTATGGAATCATGGAAGCGTCCGTTGCGATCTACACCTCAGCTGCCGGCCTACCCATTCGTTGAAAATTACATTTCTTTCTGACACCAGTAAAACTGTAGTGTACTCGAGCAACTGTTTCTTATAATCTTCGTATACAAGAGAAGCGTTTGTCAGATGGTGTTTCTAGTGGAATTCAGAAAGGGTGATTCTTTTGGAATTATACTTCTATCCTGGTGGTTCGACGATACATTCGGTACACTACGAAGAACTGAGATGGTCCATCAACAAAAATCGCCAGCTTTGGTAAACCGCCCGATTTAGAATTTTCCTGCAGGAAGACAGCGTCTTACCACAGCAGAAATTAATGAATTGGTGTTATCCCTAATCGTTCAGGCCTCAACTTTGCTCTTTCGGATTACCGCCTACTCCGATTCATTGGCCACTTTGTACGGGGCCTACAATCAGAGAGTATTAGCTTGTTACGTCATGTTTTTCGCTTTAAAACCCTTTCTGTGAAAACAGAAATGGATAGATTAACTTACAAATGATAAATTCAAATGATTGAGGCTAATAATTGTTTCGAAAAATAGCTTTACATATTGTGTTTAAACAATTGCATTCTTAGAAAACACAAAACTTATGTAACAACATAGTAAAATTAACATAATAATTTCATGTTGAACGTTATATCAAAGGAACTCAGGATTATATAATGTAAATATCAGGAATATCAGAAAAGTGAATACAAATGCGTGTTTATATTTTACGGAAAATGAATTTATGCTTTATGAACTTAGATGCCCGTGTTGAGAAAAAATTATGTTTAAATGATTATGCAGGTGCCGGAATCTAGAATTAGTAAGGGTCAGTTTTTAATTATTCATGCTGAGTAACATTTTTACAGTATATTAGAAAATTCCATAAATACCGAGAACCAAGGGGTAAAATTGATATTAGAGCAAATTTATATTAATTCGTTTTGATGTTAACGTAAATGAGTTTACTTTAAATATTGATACAATATTACGAAAATATGCAGTTTGTTGGATTAGTGTTATTTTATAATTCTGCATACTGTAGTTTTTATAT